TCGCGGGGGATGGATTGACGGCTATATACTTCGTATCGAGGGCGCTATGAAATCACTCCGAGATGACGTTGTCATGGCGATCTTAGGTGAGTATTATTATAGAGGAGGAAAACGTGCATACCGAAATATTTTTGTTGCTGAGTATTTCAGTCCTCCTTATCTAGAAACGTGTCTTTGCATACGATACCGCTGATGTTAATCATGTTTCTCCAGTGAAACTGTAATATTCGGAATATATTTTTATAACATAACATAATACGTGTATGTTACGTGTATGTTTTGTAGCTTATTTGTGCGCTGTTTTTTTAGTAAATAGGGTTTAATTTTATCAATACATAGAAAATCACGAGATGAAAAGTTCGTGAAATATACATGTTTTTTTTTTATCAGCACGTCAAATGCAAATCAATCAAACAATTGATTACAAAGGTAAACAGCCAGAATAAAACTAGCCAATCAGCTTACTTGCAATTCAATCTATTTATATCGTCTATCTTCAATCGCTTTTCACATGAAGCTATTTTGCACGTACTTAGTATGCTGTGCAAGTATTGTTCATTTCAACGCTCGCTAAATGCATTTATTCTCACTCTATTCAAGGCAAAAGTGACGTATTTGGTGAAAATATATGCGTTCATGAAAACTGTGGTCGTTCCAACTCAACTGTGCGGGCCTTGACTTATTGTGATTTGCATAAAATATGTAGAGAAGATCTTCTTGATGTATTTACTCTCTATCCTGAATTCAAAGAGCAGTTTGGAAGTAGACTGCAAATAACCTTTGATCTGCGCGATGTGAGTATTTATATTCCCTTTCTCGTTTAAGTTTCCGGCTTAATTGTACCGCAGAATACGCAGTTCAATAAGGACATATTTTTTCTGGTTTCACTTCTGTAAATATAATTGGGTTATTCCGCACTAAAAATATGTACAGACGGAAGGATAACTAATGTTTAAATAGACATGACTGATTTCACGCCCCATTGCGTAGTGCCTTGGGGAATGTGGCCAGTGGTTCGTTGCTCTTGTGATTTGGTCAGTGAAATGCGCCCTCATCTATGAGAGTGTGTAAAATTAGTGATTTTATATCGAACAGCTGGTCTTTATTGCCGGCTAGGTCTATTGTCTGATATCCAAACTGGTCTTTATTGCCGGCTAGGTCTATTGTCTGATATCCAAACTGGTCTTTATTGCCGGCTAGGTCTATTGTCTGATATCCAAACTTCAACTACTACTAATAAGTATTTATTTTCAGCGATTTAAATGTGTTTAATATATATGAGATTGTATTACAGTGGTGTGAAACGTGGATTATGGATGTAATAATGTCTCCCTCTAGTGGTGGTATTTGGTGTTTGTTTTTTTTTCGTGTTTAGAAAATCAATGTCCCCACAGTGGCTGATATTGTCAGTCAAATATACACGTCGGTGCGAGTCTCACGTTTTGTTTGTATATCACACAAAATAACTATTTTCGTATTAGACGATTAAGACTGAAATTATCTGTATTTATTTATTCTTATTCTTTCTGTCCTCATTGGCAATCTTCACCGTATCGGTGTTTATCTTGTCGGTTCACCACTTCATGCAAATTACCTATATTTTAGCAACTTATAATGGAAGCGGCCAACTACTAAAAAGTCCAGAAAATTCTAATCACTACAAATTCTTGACTCGGATATTGTAAGTTTCAATCAAAATAATCATGGAAATAAGGAAATAAAAATAAGGAGAACTCGAACTTGTAGGTGGATATTTTAAATTGGAAAACTTGCAAATAGCTATAAAGAATCACGGGGAATAATAACAATTTCACAAAATAATTGTTTTCAAAGTATGTTAGTCGTAAAGCTTCTTAATCACAATGTATAATGTTTGCAAAACACTTCTTTTACAGCGAGAAATAGCTTGTATCATGACGCCGTACCTGAGCAGGCGATTTGAGTGCGATGATTCAGTGGGTAAGCAGATTACACTGCTAGAAGATATTCCAACACAAATACATCGTGTATTATGGAACCACGGCAAGTCTCAACACGGTTATTAGCATGCATCCATCATGTACCAGGCGTCTTCCTGGCATTCATCATTTTCTAATTATTGTTGGTGTTTTGCATTTTTGTTTCTGGAAAAATAGCATTGGTAGTTTTGTCAACATGGTTGGTATGTTTGCTTTCTCAGATGAGTTGGAAGATCGGTTTGACCGACAGCGTATGATAATGAAGAGAAAAGTGACAAATGTCCCGGATGTTGCTAGTGCGGCGACGAGAGAAGATAATTTATCGAGCGCAGGTAGCAAAGACAGGCGACGTGAGAGCGGTGTAGGCATATTGGAATTTTCACCCGACAAAGCTGGTAGAGACATAACGCCGTTGAAAATGAACCTCACGTTGAACCCCAAGTGTATAACAGGGCCATTTGGAGCCATAGCAGGTTAGTACAATGCGTGTTTGTGAAATGTTGTTAGCGGTGTTAGTAATCATTTGGGGAGAGGGTATGTGCGATACGGGAACATGATTGTTTCCTTGTTAAAAACTAATTACATTTTGATGAGTGTGTTAATGAATCTGATTAATTTAACATTAACTTAAAACGTTCTTGCAGCACATAAAAAAGTATTCGTTTGATGAGCATTCCATTTTCTAATACGCATGCGCGTCGAGTGTTTTAGTAGGTGCAATAGCATTGCATTTAATTTTCTATCAACGTGTAATGTAACCAGACTCGGTCTACAAAATGCAGTAAAAACAAGAATTTCTTTAAAAAAATATTTGTTTTCGACCATATTGCATCATTAAACCCCGGAGGACTGGTGTAACATTGATTATTTTGTTTACGTGTAACGTGATTCGCTTGACACAGTAAGGTATGATTTATGGTAAAATGATAATAAAATAAGTAACGTCGTTTAAAAAACAAAAACAAAAAAAAAACTACACCCACTGCTACGTACAGATGAATAAAGCGCATGCGCACTTGTTATTATTTTACCGAACGAACTGCCATTTTTGCTGCCAAAAGAACGATTTTTATTTTACAATAAATTAGTTTATACCATTCCTATCTAGTTGAAAATATCAAACAAAATTATTTAAACATTTTAAAAGTTATCCACATTGTCTCTTTTAAGGTATGTGGTCGTTGCACTGCGCGGTGTTCGGTATGGGACCCATGCAACGTATACGACGCGTGTACAATATATGCTTCATTTTCACGCGCGACTATCACCGTTCTGCAGATACGCTTTAGAAAAAATCTTAGAAATTGCATGTTTTATTTATTTATTTTTTCTTCACGCACAGATTTCTTCTTCTGAAAACCTATAAACTCGTCATACTGATTTACACCTGGCTTTGGAATCATGTTTTAATATCCATATTCTCTTGTTTGTCGCCTTAGAAACATTCTCATGTGCTAAAATGGCTGAACTACACCACAGACAACAACACCTACTCGGTGAACACGAAGAAACATCTCCTCTAATGAAGAAAAAACGGGGCTATCAACAGATTTCCGAGACAGAAGATTCCGAGGGTCCGTCAATTATGAAACGAAAGTACCATCACTACACGTTGGAATCTGATAGCAGTCAGCCAGGGCCATCGTCGGGACGACCGTCTTCTAAAGTATTTAGCAGTGCGGCAGAGACTGAGACTACGTCATTGACAAACGTTTCTCTCTCGAGTTCAATCCGACCACATGAAAATGAAGATATTGTCACAACTCGACAGCCACGAACCGATCACATCGCTGTGCAGGATATTCATATTACAGACCCTATTATTGAACGGCGCTTTGACGATTTCACCAACAGGATGGGTTCGTTTGAAACTAAAATGGCATCCAGTATGACAGAGATATATGAACTCGTTCGCCAACAGCAGTCGATGTTGGCACGTTGTCAACAAGGGACAAACGAAGATACCAGTCAAGACACTTTACCAACCAAGGCGCCGACGAAGGCGCCGCCCAAGATGAAATTTACGCCATTAATAACCCGATCTGGAGGAGATTCTGGAAGACTGTGGAAACGTATGGTTGAAAGAAGACCACAGCCAGAAATACTTGAACTTAGTGACTCTGCATCGTCCGAAAGTCTGCCAGATGAAGCCTGAACATAAATAGCTCAACCATCGAACAGTCACTATGAAACTGACTATGCAAACGTAGATCTGGGCAAGGAATTGTTTTTACCTTGGCTATTTATGTATACTTATTAATTACGTTGCCCAGTCTAACTATTACTAATACACGTATTTAAATAGTAATAATGTTTTATAGAAAATATAGATAACAAATATTTGTATAACGGCTCTTCCACAAACTTTAATTTGGATACCAGTATTACGTACAACTTGTAATTGGAAGAAATTGTGAAATTTCTCGATAAAAAAAAATGCAAGAGAAATAAATATGGCCGATAATATTGATGCCTGGCATCTCAAAATTAATTTAATAATAGCAAAGTATTTGTATTTAGATCTGTTTATTTGGAAGACATGGGTGTAATGCTCATATTGGGCACAGCCAAGAATTACAGACATAACCGAGAACTGAACTGCGTTTACGTTGTGTGTACGCCGCGTTTCTGGAGACGTGTGTACGCCGCGAGTCTAGAGTCGCTTGTAGTCGCTGTGAAACTGGAGACACGTGTACACAAGTTATTTATACCACCTTTGCGATTCAGCATCTTGTATCGTATCGGTATTTCAATTCTAGGAATTACTGTGCAAGACGTCAACTACAGTTAACGCACACAACAAGCAATGAAGCACCTTTGGTGTGCGTGACAATCTTTCCCACTGTACAAGAAATGGTTACACTATTCTGTATCCGCTTGTAACTTCAACGGGAACTGAAATGTATTAAGTAATCGTCATCCTAGTCGCCATTGTGTATTGCTACGAGCGTGCGAGCGTCACAATAACAACGCAGAGTTCCCGTGTCTCCAGTAACAAATAATGCTACTAAACGCTCACTGGTTATCGTACACTGTTGTATACAGAGGAATAATTCTACGCTGTTATGTTGTCTATTATGCAATTATTTATTTATTGCGAACAAATACAGCATAATATATGTTACGTGTATTGTAAATTCCTGTAAATTTGAATCTCTCAATAAAGCAATACAATCGAAAACACTGACTGTCACGTCCCGACGACACATTATATAAATTGATAAATAGACCACATAAATCATAGAGCATATATTCATGAATTGTGGATTATTACAGTTGTTTTTTTCATAAAAATTAACATTTGAGACATAATTCTCATGAAATTATCTGTGGCCCATGTTTTGTGCGATCTGTTCGGTGACTTAATCTGAACGCTTGGTCTGATTGCAACGAATGTGAGTTGTGATGAAAACTGCCGGAAATAATTGATTTATAATTTGAAACAAGTACCGGTAGTATTGAGAATACCTGTATATCGTCGTACATGCACTTCAATTCGTTAGTAAACCCCTAAGACCCAAACCACTATCGATCGTGCTGTAGTGCTCTTTAATAAGCGTTGTGCAAATATAGTTATGTTGACATTCGCAGTCAAAATTACACTATTTCAAAAAGGTTCGAACCCAACTTAAGATTGTATATCATCTTCCCTATGCTTCATTATGAGAAAAAATGAGGCTACCTGAAAATTGTTCGGGAAATAAGAGCCTGAAATTACATGCAAAATGGTAAAAAAATTATAATTTTTGCTCTAGATTCTACGATGATATAGTTTTTTCCTATCTTGAAATTGTGGTTGGTAAAATGAGATTGTAGAAGTCGAAGTAGATTGATATGAATCCAAATATTGTTAAATCATTCCAATAAATTAACATTTATTTCAGTGTGATGACACTTGTATACATAGGATAGATGTCCAGTAGCAATCTTAATACCACAACGTTTGAATTCAGCTCGAGCTGACTTTAGTCTTGATGAATAAAAGATTTAAACATGACCGTCATTTAGTAAAGTGTAATAACAAACACATTTATTTTATTTCATTTATTTAGTTGTAACATATAAATAAATAACAAGTCACTTGTTCAAATAGCTGGTTGATACTAGTGACGTCATCATGAGTAACTCGACAAGACGTCTAAGCGCGCAAGTGAACGCGCATTTTTAGTTTAGACTCATTTTTGATAATCGACAATAATATTAGTATTGTAATTCTTGGCGTTTTGAATCGCATATGCATTAATAATTGAGTATTCTCCAAAAATTGGTGTGATTTGATAACAGGTTGTCATGGGTATAGGAAAATGAGGAGGCTTGTGCACGAGCGGGTCGAAGAATATCCAGAAATGAACACTCCCAAACATTAAACGGCCGCAAATTCAAATTCAATTCAGGCGACTGCTATAGCAGATTTAAAAGCGATCGACCGATCTTAAAGTTAAGCTACATCGAGATGTGTGGTTTTTGCATGGAGACAAATTGAGCAAAATGGCTTACATAACTATTATTCTAGGTGCGGGCTGGATATGCATGTATATGTATATCATTTTTGAATATCATTTTTAGCATAGTTCATACTGCCCTCTAGTGTTCAGATTTAGATGTTCGTTTGTTTATTAAACCCGGAGGTTCGTGTTATGTTGCAACAAGTCCCACACGTGTTGACAAACACTGTAGATATGGAAATCCCATTAAGAATGTCTTTATAACTGATTGTTAAATGAGAGAACATTTTGACTTATCCAACTGTGATTTGGGAAATCAAGGCGTCGGATCAGATGTAGGTAGGGCGGAATTAAAAAAAATCACAAAATCAAAATCAAAGTAAAATAATAAAATAAAAAGGCATTAATAACAAAAGTAATAAAAAATTAAAATAAGTTTATAGCCAAAATAATTAAAACCCGTACACTACATCAGATTTTAATCAGATTGATTTCAATTAAGAACTAGAG